ACTATAGAGAATTCTTTATCCGTAATCATCTTTTAGAATGAACTCGTCTGGAATGCGATACTTCCTCCTCTCCGTCGTAGGTCTATTGTATTACCAGGTACATTGTATTTTGAATGCCACGTATACTATTTAAAACATTCGCCATGTTGTTAGGCACTTTGTCGCAGACGAGACTTAAAGTATTTAAAATACCATAAGCCACCATTGTAGACGATAGATCTACTTTAATGATGTACATAGTGTAATTTACTCGGTATTGATATATTTTGATCTGAAGTTGTAAATCTGAAAAGTACTCACAATCCACTCATCTCAGAGTTTGAGATTTCTGGCATAACATTTAGCTCCTAATCTTCATCCACCCTTGTCTGTTGGCGCGTAATGAAGCCCCGATATGGGATCAGAAAGTTCTATTAGCTTTTGTCAACTTGCGTCATTTGTGTAACACGAATCAGAACTGATTGCAATATCATTTACATTTCGAGCGTAAAACTCCTTGTAAACATTCGATTCATTAAGTCTTCAAGAATCTTATCATTCATGCGAAATGAATCACTTCTACTATCACCGATAATGTCGAATCCAATAATTCGGCATTAACTTTAAATTGACCTCACGGTACTGATGCTATGTGGTGGCTCGGATCGATCCACAAATGGACCAGGTTTTACGTTTCTCGTGGCCGGGGTCTTTCGCAAATGAAGTAACCTGCGCAATTAAAATGGCCAAGGTAAGTGACGTCAAGCTTCCCCTTGCGACCAACGATGGTTATCCATCTGTCCACCGTAGTCAGCAGGTTGGCTATACAATAACGACCCTTCCTGAAACCATGCTGTTGGAGTGAAAAGACGTTTGAGCATACCGTCTCATATCAGGGATTCCATCATTTTTGAAGGTATAGAGAGGAGAGCCACTAGTCAGTAGCTAGAAGATTCGCTGCGTCGACCTCCTTTGAAAATTGGTGTGATGTGTTCCAGCTTCCAAATTTTTGGTAGTGTGCCTCGGCTTAGTGAGTGTGAGAACATCATGCTCAGCGGTGTTGCCATGATTGAATCTGCTTCAATCAGTATAACAGAATGAACCATATCCGGATCAGGAGTAGTGTCTTTTCTTAGGTGCTACAGTTTCCGGTACATCAATTTAACACTCAGGTTCACTTCGGAAAGTCCTGTGCAGTTGCAGATGAAGCTTTCATCAGCATAACTAATATGGGGCGGTTGGAATGTCCGAGAGTACCGTTTAGCCAGAAGGTTAGTAGCGTCACCGTCGTTACCGTTGGGGCCATTAGGACCTAGCAGTTGGGAAACTCCAGTTTTGGCCTGTCGAAGAGTGTTTGCATAACGGAATAAACTTTTCGGATTAGAGACAAACTTACCGACATGCTATATCTGGTACTGAAGCCTGTATTCTCTTATCGCCTTTGTGAATATGTTCCCCATACTTTTGCACTGCCTGTACGCACCGTTCTTATCAAATCGTTTGTATTCCGCCCTACAGTGTCTTTTATGACTCAGCAAACGAAGTGTACGGTTCTTGATGACTGTAGGTTGAGTGGAGATTTTTGGGGCCATTTGCAGCAAGAAATCCCAATGAGCATCCACATAAGGTTGAGTGTGAAATTCCCAATCCACCTGTCGTGGATTGTCCTGTAAACCTGACACATCCAACCGTTTGAAAGTTGAGCGCCTGTCGTTGGTGGGATGTCTTAGCTCAGTCTTGCTGATAAAACTAAAAGCTATGACGGCATGGTCGTTTTTTCCTAAGGGAGTCAGAATTGAGAGGTTGTCAAGTAAGAATTCTTCGTTTGTAAATACACAGCATATAATAGAGGTTTGTGATGTCATCCACATAATGGGTCAATGTGAGATCTAGTAGGGATTATTCGGAGTCCGTGATGCACCCAGTTGATTCATTCATATGTTACACTACGGTATGTGAAAACCTCATCAGTCCTCAGATTTTCCCAGTCCACCGCAGGTGTATTGATGTCTCGTAGGGTCAAACATCTGCCACTTTTTGAAGAAGTATCGAAACTGTCTAGAAAGACTTCATTCACCTCATAGCTTGGAGTGCGGCTGACCATAACAACCAGAAGCTATTGCTCCCTGCATTCCAAGCGGTAACTAACTCATAGGATGTCTTATCAATAATCACAAATGGGACCGTATTCCTGACGAACAGATCTACTTCTCCTCCTTTACTTATCTCGATTCATACTGTTAAACTTTTAAAATCAAGCTCCCCACCCTCTATGCACTTAGCCAGTCAAGTTTTTATGACTGCAGTTATATCCTGCTTGGCAGAGTCTATCGGCACACCAACTTCTAACCGCTTATTGAGCAAACTACGGGCAACTGTGAAACAGATCCGAAGCCCATTTAAGTGACTTCGTGCTGCATCCAGAGTGGCATCAGCATCATTCTCTGTCGGGGACTCACTACCCGAATCTTTTGATTCTTTTCACCAACATTTAAGTTCTCGTTCTTTTTCGGTTTCTATTCTTTCTATACTTCCCACGAGCGGCAAGTCTTTGAGGGCAAAGCTCCTGATCCCTTCAGTTTATGTCCATTTTGCAATATTAAGTTCCTTTCGTTGGTAGACTTAAATAGTACATTTAGCAGCCGGGATTGATTAATTTGGATACCTACTTCATAAACCTTTAGCATGATGACTCGAAAAATACCCTGAGGCAATAGCCGAATTAGTAGATTTTATCAACTCAACATCATGACCCGAACGAGTTCTAGGTTCTGAGATGACACTCTACTTGACTCGATGAAAGATAACTAACCTGTAGTTACTACCAATCTCTGATTTTCATTTAGTAACATTATGTTGTTTCCTACTATCGATCTGTACCCACTCATCAACTTTCGTCGTAGTAGCAACCACAGTCGTGCCACACACACTATGAGATCTCGGATGATCGTCGATGACTTGGATGATCAGGTTTTTGTTTTTCCTGCTAGGAACAGACCTAGCCTTATGACCAGGTTTTCTAGGCGTTTCTTGCTGGTTGATAATTGGAAGACGGGGAACAGAAAAATTCTTTTCTTGAGCTTTTATTTCTGATAGACCTCTTTGAAGTCGGTTTTTCCTCATTTGACCCATATAGGTCAACCAATTCTGAGCTTATCTGAAGTAACTTCACATCAATTTGTAAATCGACCGAGCGAGTACTGTCTGATGCTTATCAATTACGATTGCTAATACTCCTCTTAGCAGCATTCACCACTGCAATAGCTTCGGACAGCAAGTTGCACCCGATCAGCACTACTGACACAACCACGCGTAGCTATTTTTACTAAACCATCCAAAAGCAGTAGGCTTTAGATTCGTGCAAACATCCTTTGTACTCATCGTACTGCATGCCACTTTTGATATGAACGGTCCACTCATCATAAAATAGACTGAAAAATATCCAGGACAAGAGAAAATGATGACCAGAAAAAGCGGAAAACTAAATTAATAGAACCGAAATGCAATAAAATAATGCTCAGTCCGGTTACGATTTCTAGAATAGCAATATTTTGCTAGTTCCCTCAGCGGATGACATGCTTGACAGGGAGATCAGAGTTCATATTAGGTAAACTCCTAGTAAGTCATCATCTAGATTTACTCAAATCTAAAGCATCACTACCCAGCTACCGCACACACAATCTGAATGTTCGCAAAACGCTACGGTCGACTGCTTTTGTGGATTTATTGTTTGGTACTAGGAATATAATTAACATCTACAACATATTGCACTTTTTTTTTTAATTATCTTGACGGAAGCAAAACAAGGATATACATAACACATAGTCAGTAACTCCATACTCATTTTAAAATGGTTTCCAAAACGAGGCAATGGGCATAAGTAGTGATGTCAGCAAATTCACGAAAACTGGGAATGCTTATTTTCAAACAAACAAGAAATCAAACAAAGATAATGAGTAACTATACGACTACAAACTGCATCGAGTTCAAAGAACAAACCGGAGATACCAATATTGAAAATGTTACTTAAACCGACTAGTAAATCTTAACGGTCTGAAAAAAAAAGGTTGTTGAAAAATTCAGACACAACGGTGAGACCTAAAACTGTTTATGAATTTCAGATCACGTGATGAAAAGATTATTGAGTGGTAAAAATATTTCCGGAACAACAACCTATCATGTTTATTCCTTGTTCATGTTTTCTTGAAACTAATAATTTGAAATTTTTATTGTAATATATATATATATATAATTGTTTAGTATTATAATAAAATCATCGAAGAGATCGCTTCGCTGAACTTCGTGTTTCTGACAATTATAACGGCTCATCCTAAATTGACCATTAACGAATTCCAAAATGCTGTTCGAGTCCAGCGCCGAAAAAACACGTGGGATCACATTCACGTTAGGATACGAGTGGAGCAACGAGCAGCCATGTAATTTAAGAAGCTAAGGTGCCTCGACGTAGATCACAAGACACACATATCTCCACACTACCTGTAGTAAGCCCATTCAACTATTGTATTATTTGTCTACTCACTGTAATTCAGACACTTAATTCGCTATATTAATTTCTGTGTGTGTATGATTGAGCGCGTGTCTGCACATCAACCTTAATGTATTCTCCTATTGATTGTAACATACAGATAATCAATAATTTATCCACACTTGATTGACACTCAAATATATATATGGATTTTTAACACACACACACACACTCTTGGTTTCACAGTGTGCTTGCTCGCTGTACGCTTGTGAATTTTATTTATCTTTAACAATAAAAATATCTCTACAACTGGTGTTCAGGCTTCTGAATAATCTCGAGTAAATCTGTAATTCTACTAGATTTAGCCTACCTAAAATACTCAGTTAACGGGATATCATTTATTGAAGTCAGATATAGAGGAAATTAGCAAACAACAACCTTTCACCTATTTGACAGCAATGAAAACGTAAAATTCTCAATAACATTCTGCCCTAACACCACCTAATGTAGAAGAGACAACTAGAAGACTTTAAATGTACCTGAAGTACTATATTACCAACAACATTGGAGTTTGCAGGCATGTTGAAAATACCCTACACCGTTAAGCAGATCGAACTTATCTATTACTTCCTCACAATGCTCAAAACCAAAAATAAGCCAGGGAGTGTTGTAAACTAAACCCATGACCAGATAGGATGAAAACAACTGTAAGTGACAATTTGCAAGACGATATGTTCACTGAAAAATCAGAAAAATATCATTAATAAAGCAAATGAAACTGAAACAATACGACGAATTTATGAAGATATGTACAATGTAGAAAAAGGAAATGACAAGTGGTTTTAAAGAACCAGAATTTGGGTATACGTAGTAAACTAGTCGGTGGATGATGTAAAAAAATTTAACAACAGCCTAGAATAAACGATTGATTTGTGTTAAAGTACGCTGTACGCGTTGTAGTCACTAAGGCACAGCAAACTGAAACATGAGCTAATCAAATAATAGAAATATAGAGATATCAATAGCAAATAGACACACAAAACAGTGAAGTCATTAAATTAGGAATAAAGTTACGATATCAAAACACTACTTTTTAACACCGTTTGACGCAGCATTTAGTGCCCACAAATTTTGTAACAAGGTCATACACGCTGCCGGATTAGCTGCAGCACCGCTCATTAGCTGTTGCAATGCGGCAGCATTAACTTGCTGATTTTGTTGCTGTTGAGCTTGTGCAGCTGCAGCAGCTTGTTGCTGTTGTAGTAAGTAGGTGTACTGTAAAAGTGCATGCTGCAATATTTGCTGTTGTTGTTGTTGTCTAGTATTAGCTGTTGCTTGCGCCCCAGTAGCAGCAGCTGAATTATTGTTGAAAAAGATAAAGATGAATATCAGTCAGCTTTTATCACCACTTATCAAAGTATTAGAATTCTTTGACACAAATTAACACCAAAAACAATGACGCATCTTCAAAAACCACAGTCCGAAATAACAAAATCTATCAGTAATTAGATTAGTGTTACATGTAATTCTGTTTGCATATTTAAAGTACTTAGAATTCTATAGTAGTCGTTAAAAATAAATGGTTGAAAAAGAGACAGTTGAAGTAGAAAGTTTTATTTGCCTGTTTGAGCTGAAATTTAGAAAACATTATTCACTCTTTCGTTCATTTTGCTAGGACTGCACTTAGTGACAGTGCAGGTGGAGACTATGAACAAACATCATGTATCCCGATTCCTCCAAGATTTTGCAATCTCATCCACTCAACTATGATATGAATTACTGTATAGTTGAATGTAGTTAGGAAGTTTATTTTCTGTTGTTCAGATCAATTGTATGCCAATTATAGAAACCTAGAGAATTCACAACTAAATCTTGAAAAGTGGATTTTGAAGGATGGATAGCATAGATACTTGGAATTCCGTTGTCTGATATAAGACAATCTTAGCGTAATCTGCAGCTGGGTACAGGGAGACCAGAGGCAACATTTTGCAAGGTCGAATGGTTGAACAGGTAAATGTTTATGTAGTCAGTTATTGGTGTAAAGAACAGAGTTACTATCCGGTTTTTCGAACGAAAGCAGAGTTCGAACATGCGGAATTTGAGTCCTTCGACCACAAATTGAAGAGTATATCTTGATAGAAAGACTACACCCAATACTATGAAGAACAGTTGCAATCAGACCCAAGTTAAATTTGTACTTTGGAAAGGACGCTCAAACCCCCATAGAACTTATGAGATAAATCGAATCTACAGACCTTTCACAAGTAAGATCAGAGCAATTGATAGACAGAAAAACGTAGCTAACTTATTGTTGCTGAGACAGAGTCCGCAATAAAAGTCGTTTGGAAATGTTATTCGTAATTACCCAAGTCACACGAAAAACAAGACAATTTGCATTAAGGACAGAGATTAAAATAAAAATATCCAGATTAAGATAATAAACATAAGTGATAAAATATACCTGCATTTCCCAAGAGACTGCTCATTAACAATGTCTGCATCTGCGTAAACTGAGCTAAGTGATCAATGGGTGAATTAGGTGTTACAGCTCCAGTTGAAGGTTGTGTGTGGTGTGGTTGTTGATGCTGGAAGTTTAGAGCTGCTACTGCAGCTAGCCTTTGTTGTGCCAATGCTGCAGCAGTTAACTGTTGTTGGGCAACCGATTGCTGTTGCTGATTAGTTGCCGAAACTGCTGCCGCTGCTGCAAGCATAGGATTTGCGGCCGCAGTCATCATCAAGTTGGCAGTGGCAGCGTTATTAGCAACAGAATGATTAACCGGACTTTGACCACCACCAACAACTGCAGCAACAGCTGCTTTTGTAAGTTGTTGGTAACGAGATGCCAACTGCTGAACAACATTTCCTGCTACATGTCCCTGCTGCTGAATAGGTAAAGAAACAGGAGAACTGACGCTAACGTTATTGGATGTAGTTTGTCGACGAGACGAAACATTTGGCATTCCTAACTGAGATGAGGAAGCGCTGTTGACCACATTTGTTTGTCCATGCCTTGAGCTACTAGCAGTATTAAATACATTCTGTGTAAAAATACAAAATTATTACAAAGACAGAACGGAGTAAAACCAACCTGAAAACCAAACTGCATGTTATAACTGATTCGAAATCCTAGTTATACATAATCTGGCAAACGAGCGAAATACAGTTCACCAGGTTTAGAGCAATACTTACTGTGTCGAGGAGATACTATCTGACTGACTAGATCAAAGTACATTAATCCTGCTTTGAACTAATTGTTGGCTACTATACTCATGAGTAACAACTTAGTACACTTATATGTATAACTTTAAATGTCTACTATGTGATTGATGATCTGAGTCTTATGAAAAAGACTAAGCATGAGTAGGGTTTTTTAATACGGTAAATATTAATCAACATAAGAATGAAAAGGTGTTGATTATTTACTTGCTTGAATATCTGTCTCATGCAGATATATTCTGTATACTAATACCTCCCAAACTAAAACGTGGTTCTATCGTTGCCACCGTATCTGACATCGTGAATCGGTCAATGTATGCGCTAAGTTCTACGTTGTGCATAACTGGCTGACTGAAAAAAATCGCAACCAACATCGATATAACAACTGATGATCTAATTTTTTTCTTAAGTGAACTTGATACTCCAATCAATAAAAACGCATCACAAAAATCTCCCAGAACGTTCTTAATGTTTATTTTTGAGTACAAACGATAAATAATAACATGACCAACCACTAAGTGCAGTTGGATTAATAAGCTATTTAGAACTCTTTGAGTAGATCAATATATTCATAGTTATAGTCGCACTATATAACAGGGTTCATCAATCTCTTCTAAGTTTATGGGAATACATCAAGATATATTGTGAAGGCAGTTTCTTAAGCTTTATAAGATGACAAAATACAAGTTTGCGTTGTCCTAAAACTTTTAAAATATGGTATATTACGCAAACTCATTACAGAACATCTTTGTTACGTGACTTAACATATAGACACTTAGGACTTTCTCTTTTAAAAACATAACTTATACTTGATCAGTAAACCAGTAATTTTATTAACTTAAATTAGCTTGCTTATTTGAAACGTTCTAATTCCCTTCACAACGACTTAAGTTTATTGCTTTCAAAATTCAAAATAACTGTTAGTCAACTGGCATAGCTTAATTTATGATTGAAGAATTAATTCACCCCCAAATGGGGAGAGTCCGCTCTCCCTCTCGAAATGCTCTCACATGACGACGCGTATACATACAGCCACTGACAGGTAACTCCCATTCACTGACTTCTCGCGAAGGGGGTGTTGTTTACAAAATTGAGAGGACGGAAAGCGAATGTCGGACGTTTTAACCGGGTTGGTAGACATGGAGAGTCCATCTAGGGGAGTTGGAAAACCCGGATTCAAAACCAGTGGTGCACATGGGCTCCAGTATCTTGAAGGAACAAATGGCGTGTGAACCTATTGTTGGACATCGGCTACGACGGGACTGCATCTCCTTACGATGCTCCACTGCCCTGTGGATTAGACCTTTAGGTCCAAAGCTCCGGGTGTGGCCCCCTAAGAAAACCACCTGCTTTGGTTTGGCACCCGGGCAGTATCACGGCCCTCGCACAAATCAAATGAGATGTGTGTGGCGTATATATATTTGGTGCCCCTTTATACCAATATTTATGTGTTCAAATAAATAAATAAAGAATAATTAATTCAGTAAGCACTATCAGTACAATTTAAATAGGAAGTACTAAGAAACTATGAAGATTCTTCCGAGGGAAGGAAATTAAAAATATTACGAGATAGGTATCATACTCCATCGTAAATGCTTTTGAGATTATACTCATGTAGTATCTTGCTCTTCAATACGACATTTGATCTATCATGACACTTGAACATAGACATGACTATTCACCTATATTCCAATTAATTTTAAATAATTTAGTCATAGATGACTAATCATGAGAATTAAAAGTTAGTGCTATTTAGTACAAGAACACAGAGACATGTAAACGTTAAAAAACAACAATTACTGTATAAGAACTAAAGGTCATATCTGCTTCATCAAGCTGTTTGAGATAGAACCAAGTTCAAACTCACTATTCTATTGCTAAAAATCGGAGCGCCCAAACTCCTTCTAAGAGGACACAGACACTTTAGACGTAGATATACAAGATCCTGGACTTCAGTCAGTTGCATTGACAATACTAGATTCCGGTAGTTTACAAATATATAGCATTACTGAATTCACAGACATGCTTTAATTTAGCCTTTGTAATGTAGCGCAATAATCATTTATTTATGATTGTAGAGTCTGCTGGCGAAGTTGTTGGAAACAGCTGTCCATTCAAATACTACACTCTTCGGAAAGTTATTCTAAACTTACAGAACAACATTACCGAAATGACAAAGCATCTTTTGCAAGTAGGAAACAGCCATCATTTCCCTGACAGTTACGATTTCCAAATTTTAATCTTACGTTTATTAAAATATCTGAATAGAAACTCGGATCTAACAAAACAAAGTAGCTCATTTTTTAAACTGAAAGGTCTTACCATCAATCCGAAATAGACTATTTATCCAAGCTATCATATCTCACATCATTATCACACACACAAATATACATGTACCACCTTGACCGTAGTAACATAACGCTGACTTGATCAGATATGCTTTCAATTGAATGTAGTAAATATCTTTGTTTTGTTCCTTTTTACCAAACGAACTTCAGTTAGTTTAATTTGACTGTTAGTTTATTTTCTGAATTGGCTTGTACTAAGTCACGAAACGTCAGAAAATTTAATCTTTTAGTCGTTGCAGTATAATAAGCAGTTTTTATTAAAACTGAAGTTTCAACGCAAACTCCAAAGATATTATGTTAGCTCTTAGCTTTAATACTCTAGGGCATAACTGTTATCAATAAAACTTGAAATTTAAATACTTTAATGAAAATTTACCTGAGACTGGAACCCTTGCTGTTGTTGTTGGTACCTTTGATTATGTAAGCCAGTAGCTGAAGCAACTTGCTGCATTTGTTGCTGCTGTTGTTGGGCTACTTGAGCTTGTTGAGTAACCAGAAGCTTACGTTCATGTTCTTTAATAAAAGCTTCCAACTTAGCTGGTGAATTGACTACGTCTTGATATTCATGCTCGATTTCACGTTCTGAAGCAGCGTGCTGTTTAAGTGCAGCTGAAATAACACTACTGTATGCTTTATGAATGACTGAACGCTGACTGTCAACTATACAGGCTTCACAAACAACTTCAGATGAGCCTGGGCGTTTGCGTTTCCAAACAGGTGTGAAGTCCGTACCACAACGTGAACATGAGAATGGGTTAACAAAGCGAGATTGTTCAGAACTCTTATCCGTGCTCAATGGGTCGAAGTCCTATAATGTACAAATAATTTGAGTTATTTAAATAGCATTTCAGGTAAACTTCATTCGTCAAAAAAAGTGGACAGTTGAACATTATTCACTAGGGAAATTGGTTTTTAATGCACAACAAGAAACTTTGGAAAAGAGGATAAACTTCCCAAGTTAAAAAATGAACATTTAAGAAACATCAAGTGACCTAGATGAGAAGACACATAAATTACGAATGTTGAGCGATGGTAGTTAGATTACTAGAACAAGGTTTTTACAGGTCAACTGTCTGAAAGATCCACAGAGGAAAATCAGATCAACACTTTTCTCAGCCACAAATACCCAATTAGAAAGTTTGGGATTAATAATTATTGAAACTTTACTTTATTATACTCACAGTTACAATAAAGTGACGCTCCCCAATAGACAATTCAAGAGAGCAGCCCGTCCAACGAATCGAAGGCAGCCCTGATATCAAGAAACACTACGACTGTTGTCCTGTAATAAGTATGACGGTGTTCTAACATTTGGCGGAGGGTGAAGATATAGTCAATACATCCTCGAGCAGATCGAAAATCAGCCTGCTCCTCACAAGTCAATCTTCCTCAGGTTTTGAACAATCTACAAAGTATGACGGAAGCAAATAGTCTAGACGCAATCGGAAGTAGACTTATCTCGCAATAGTTGTTACAGAAACCACGTGAACCCATTTTAAAGATAGCGACAACTGTCGACTCACTCCATGTTGGAACACTCTCTAACTGCCAGACCTTTTTAAAAAAAATCTCAGTCAGTTCCTTAACCGGAAAGTTACCACGATCTTTAAAAAGGGCCGGAGGTAAGTCATCTGGGCCCGTTGATTTGTAGCGCTTCAAGAGTTGGAGTTCCTTGCGGACTTCCACCCCGTTAGGTGAATCAGTCGTCACAGGCCACAGAGAGTAGAACAGTGTGATCGATGTTGCTGAGGTAGCAGACCAGTTGAACCGCTCTTCGAAAAACTCTGCCCATCATCCAAGACATCGACAAATGTTGGTGATTGGCATCCCCCAGTTTTACAGATTGTTTCGCTCACACCAGGCTTCTTGCTGCCAGTGACTCGGATGAGTTGGAAGAGCTTCCGGAAGTTACCAGGTGCAGTTGCTGCTTCCAACTCATTAGCACACTCCAACCACTAGGCTTCTCGGTTCTTACACAAGCTTTGCCCAACTTCATTACGTAACAGACGTCGTTTGTGATCAAACTTACGGTAACCTGGAGTAGACTAACGGGATTCAATGACTTGTAAAGAGCCCGGATAAATACAGTGCTTATATGCGGGACGTTTCGCGAAGGGGCAAGTGACTTTACTCGCTATTTTCATGGCGTCATGCAATTGCAACCAATGCCCATCTATACTTTTCGATGGGATGGTAGCCATACTTGAACTTAGGTCGGTTTGATATTTAGTTGCAACAGGAGCTGGAACCAATTTACTAGCATCGATCGGTTTAGGACGATGAATTTGTTGGCCGCTGAAAAGGTAAGATTAGTGCAGACAAGGGCATGATCAGAGTCCAGATAAGTACTCTAAAAGGAAGGGCAGTCTTGTACACAACCACGCCAGCAGTAACTGATCGAGATGTGATCAATCTGAGTTCAGGCTTGAGATGCAGAGGGAGGACACTAGGTGGCACATCGGCGACGACTGCGCCGGTAGTTAGTGCTAACCAAAAACAGGTTGTGGTCTGCGCACAGTTGCAGTAGCCGGTCACCGTTATCTGACCTGGGACCAGCAGGTGCTCATCAGCCACCTAAATGACTCTTCTGTGCCTAGGCGCCCGACCTGAGCATTCAAGTCTCCGGTTAGTACTACAATTTATGTCGAACGTACTTTCTGTAGAAAATTATTATTATTTGAACACATAAATATTGGTATAAAGGGGCACCAAATATATATACGCCACACACATCTCATTTGATTTGTGCGAGGGCCGTGATACTGCCCGGGTGCCAAACCAAAGCAGGTGGTTTTCTTAGGGGGCCACACCCGGAGCTTTGGACCTAAAGGTCTAATCCACAGGGCAGTGGAGCATCGTAAGGAGATGCAGTCCCGTCGTAGCCGATGTCCAACAATAGGTTCACACGCCATTTGTTCCTTCAAGATACTGGAGCCCATGTGCACCACTGGTTTTGAATCCGGGTTTTCCAACTCCCCTAGATGGACTCTCCATGTCTACCAACCCGGTTAAAACGTCCGACATTCGCTTTCCGTCCTCTCAATTTTGTAAACAACACCCCCTTCGCGAGAAGTCAGTGAATGGGAGTTACCTGTCAGTGGCTGTATACGCGTCGTCATGTGAGAGCATTTCGAGAGGGAGAGTGGATTATCCCCACCCTCGGTGGTACCTGAAGAACTGTTAACTGGTGGTAAAACTCATCCCTTAAGGATATTAGTTTATGTACCTCCTTTCGAAAGGAAAAAAGTACATTATTGATGGGGATAGAATAGTGTAAGCATGATACTCCTCAGAGCCAGTGAGGATTATATTGATCCAGGACACTGGTAGGGGGACAAAAAGTAATGATTTATGTACCTTACTGCCAACAATTCTCAACTTAAGAACTAAGGTAAACAATTTATGAGATAAACAATGAGTTATAACTCTTCGAGTAAAGAAATAATAAATTCCTGGTATATAAACAAAACAGCCCAGAAAATCAATAAGGATTGGTTTGAGTTGGCTTCTCACGGTTACTTAGTCCCATAAAAATACATTAGTTTCAATTTGTCTTTCCTCATGAGTTAGGAAAGATGTTTATCAAAAATTAAAAATTTGGCTTGCTTCGCGAATTCCTGATATTAGTGATAAGGTTTTGAAAATACTAGCATCACAAATCTATAAGCAAATGCTCGTAATAATACCTTGTGTTGGAAACTACAGACAGATATATACCGGTTTCTGAGACCATATACTTAGTTCGACAGCATCATCACAACGTATCCATTACATTTCTCAAGATCCCTAAAATATGAGACTTCACAATTCTAAGTGACCTGCAAGTGCCAACTGTCTGTACTTCTCTAAGGATATTTGATTCCTTTCTTTTCGCCCTTCATTTGCGTGCTTATCGGCTTTTAGGTCCGACTATTGACTTTTCTGCAGCAGCTTCAAAGTCCTCATTCGGGATGATGGTGGTTAAAACAACCGACTTAATAAGATTCCATGTTTGAAACGTACTGCCCCTTTCTCGGTTGGTATAATAATCTTCAAAGCAAAACATGAAGGCCGAATAGGGACAAATAAATTTGTGTTATTCAGCAATATGTCGGGTCATTGTTAAATACATGGCCTTTCAAAGTGGCTCGGAACTGTGTTAGAAGCCTCATGTTTCAGTCAGTCAGTCAGTAACAACGTAGAACTTCATGTTTCGGACTGGGTAACATCAGACAAGCTCAACTCACGAAAGTTTTTAGAAAAAACTACCCGTCCTTAACCACCCAAATAAATGAGGTATATTTATCATCATTAGACTTGATTGCAACAAAGCTAACATTGCGTTCATAAGATTTAGCATAGCCCGCAAGCCAGAAAATAACTAAAAGGGAGGTAACCTGACATTAAGACCTCAGGAGCTACCGGAAATAGCGAACTCAATTATTCGTCCGCATCCGTTACACACAAAGTTATTGAAAACAAATAGGAAGAAAGCTACTTTATGACCACAGGTTAAAATACCTACTTGTATGGTGGTTACGATTTCCTCAAGGCCTATCATTGCAGTAAACTCATTTGTCAAAGTGCTTGGAACAAAAGGCACCACTGACAATCCATTTCCCACGGCAGGCTTTGGAAGAACAACTTTATCTAGCGTTCTCTCTAACTGCTTCCGAAGCATTGCTTTTTTACCACTACATTGTTGTTCGAGAGCGTGGATAGCCATTCCTTTAGTTACTTTCGTTATTGCCGTCGCGTTTGTTGGATTTACCGCCGTAGTGTTTTGGGCTGGAGCTAATGAGAAGATATTTAGTGCCTTGAGAAACTTACATAGTGTTGCACGACCACCAGTTGTTGACGGGACATTTCTAATCACAGCTTGGCTGACAGCTGGCCGAACTAAGTGAAATCAATAAATAATAAACACGTACCTTGGTTAACAGGTGATTGTGTATTACGGACTGTATTTGTTACACTTGATGGGACTTTTGTACTTTTCGGCTGTAATGCATGCGAACGTTGATTGGCTCGTAACTGCTGAAGCAAAACTAATGCACTTTCTTCATTTCTGAGTTCATTTTCCAGTTTTAAAAGAAATGCACGCGACTTGGATAGAAGTGATTGCTTGGGAGCGTTTTCTTTTTCCATTTCATCACAGAGAGACCCAAGTAGACGATCATCCTCATCCTCACTCAGCATAATGACATCATCATCATTCTGCAGAAGTGAGTGCAAAATAATAACTTACCCTGCTAGAAAGTTTTTCACTGCCATTAGTAACATGGTTAGACTTTCGACTTAAATCTAATACATCATCAAAACATTGCCTGGAACAGTCATCATATGAACGTATGGCATACCTCTTGGTTGGGGGCTCCATCTCGCCCAAGGGTTCGTTCGACAATGCCTTTTCCAATGTGGCTGAAATGGTCAAAGTGAACAGAAACACATCCTATTAATACAATGACAAGACGAACCCAGAATTAGATCACGTAAGTCGAATGACGAGCCATTCAGTAGGCAACAACACTTAAACACCATGACGACTAGTATCCTTGTCCTATCTTGTCGTGAAAAATCATCTGTGGAGAATACAGTATTGTTTTTCAGAGCTGAACTTTGGGAAACGCCTGACTTAGCCAGGAGCAAGTTAAAACTTTAGCCCAGGGGGGTGGCAATTATCCGACCAAATTGCAGGTTCATGAAATAAGAACTATAGGGAGTTTGAAACATCATTTGCCTCACCACCGATATTTGGGTCATTTAACAATGACTGAACGAAAGATTACAGTGACTATTAGTCGCAGAGAAAACTCTACCCTTCCTACTACTTCCTACCGATCTCCTTAACCGTCATTCAGTGGGCAACTTAAGTAATTATTTATTCACGTCACTGAACAACTCCCAAAAGCCATTGGGAAATCCAGATTGTAACTGTTTGGAATGCTTTTCTTAACCGGATCCGAGGTTTTCAGTCACCAAGCTCTGGCCTTCAAGATGCATCAAGCCGGATTTATATGTTCCGTACAGTTCTTACCCGTTGCATGAACGCCTCATTTTCTCAGGGGCTGATGTGGATTGCTTTGCAGTTGACATTAGCCTCTCAGGAGTGCAGACCTATTAGCTATAATTTCAGAAGGCGAAGGATTGAAACTTACCAAGGAGCAACAAATTGTAGCCAGTAGTATAGTTTTGAGGAATGGATAGTTTTGATGTATCGTATCTTTGACTATCTTATTTCCAAGATATTAGAGAGGCCCCCTGAAATTGGAATACTCGTGACAGGTCGTGAGTGCATAAATAGTCTTATGAGTCTTCTACATTGAAGCCGACCTCATTTCCATTGCCAGACACATCATAGTTGAAAGCTTTCGGTCACGTAACCGTGCCAGACCACGAGCGGGTACGCCGTGCTACACATCCCTCGCGACTACTTACCAGCTTAGATCAAACGGTCCTCAACGCATATATCTTCGCACCCATCCATCCTTGACTTCTGATTTGACTTGGTTGGTATCCTTCGACTATAAAGGTATGACAGACAAAAGCCTAATTAAACCCTGAATATCTGTAGTGTCCTTAAGACAGTGAGAGTTTACATCCTTATCAACAAGTTTACGCCTCAAATCAAAAACTAAGTTTATATGTCTCTACCAAATCAAGGACATCTTTGGTGTACAATAAAGATGATGTATTTATTCTTTATCTTTATAAACCTGGTTTCTGTGGATACAAAAACATTTCCTATGAAACATGCCTACACAGTTTTAGGCTACCGAACACCTCTATCACTCAATAGGCAATACAAGTTGCAGAATACAAATTACTTCTCGTGTGTTTACTAAAGATAGCCACAACGATAACCGGGGCCAGTCTGACATGAGTCACCTTGTGGTCTACAAGTCAGGAAAACCTTACGACTAATTCTTGGGATCGCTTGCGAAACAATGCAACCTTCTATTAGCCTCGGGTAGGTGTTTACTACCGACATTTACTAAGGGGGAGCGACTGGTGTAGGTCATGGAAATAAAAGCTCACAATGTAACTAAATAAGAGGATTTAACCATCTGCTTCACATCAATTTTGAAAAATTGTATGACGGAAAGGAATAGTTTTACAGAAATCATCTACACGAAGGATCACAACAATATCCAGTGTCTCAACACAGTGAAGCACTAGACAATACAGAACGAACATTCTAGTTGTTGCGTGGAATACGAATTAAAAAGAACTTGGTGGGAGCATTCGTCCCATATAATAACTGCACACTTAAAGATTAACCTTTGAAGCTGATGACCGTAGTATTCATTAATAATTCCACATAAATGTTTGAGGTCTGAAGACTAAATAGTTAGAGATATGAACGAAATATTACAAGGGATATTTCACACTAAATAAACTGTCGTCTGAAGACGGCGGAAGGTTATTGGCTCTCAAAGCACTTGAAGACTGAAGAAAATGATATGCTTAAATGACCTATGAATTTTGTTATCACGAGATTGCAATATCACTCAATTGAAGAGGGTCAACAGGGTGACCCCGTGAGTTTATTGATGCATTTAACAATGAAGTCTAAAAACTGTCCTCGACTTAGGTGGTGTGATGCTGCAATAAATCCTCTAATCACTATGGTATTTATATGGTAAACCTCTAAATAATCCTACTATGTATGCAGACGTATAAATCCAAAAACAGTCACAACCAATTTTGTCCTTAACGTTTTTGAGAATCAGCGCTATGAAGCTTTCATATAATAAATAAAACGAATCTTCAAGACACAAACAGCAACGAGCAGACCCCTCTCATTTTTTAACAAACGCCTCAGCCTCACCAGGTATGTCGAACCCCCTACTTAGTGATACTATTGTTTGTAAGTGTGGGTTTTCATTCAACAGGTTATGAAACGAATCCGTTTTATTCCGCCAGTATTTGTGTGGGGATCCAGTTGCATGATATAAGACAGTAGGAGGACGGAAGTGAAAAGCTAAGGGCACCAAGATATAGTATTGATGAAGTTCAGTGAGAAAAAATCTAATTTGTAGGGGGTATTTGTCAAGCATTTATCCACTTAAAGTGGCAAGAAAAATCAGGAGGCCATTAGGCAGCTGTTTTGTCCAGAACTCCTCAGTGTTGACAAACAATACCTAGGAATTGAACTAACCCTCAAAGATCCCCTTCAATAAAACACCGACCACCGGGTTACTAGTAAAATTCAGATGTGCCGTCTGTGTCATCGATGTCACTAGATGGTTGTTCCACCATATCAGGTACTAACCGAGGTTACAGATACGTATCACTGAAAGTTAAATCAGTGGCTCGAAGACCCTGAGTCTGATCCGTTATAAGTACTCGCTTGCATACTTCTAGTGAATCTTACACAAGCACGAGACATCATTTTAGTCAGTCCTGGTTTTCATTGGTGCCCCAGACGAAGTTAGTCTGTGAGTACCACTTGCAGAATTACAACGTGTTTGACGCCACATCATTTAGTGAGAATTCCAGAAAAAAGCTCTGTATGCCCAACAAGAACTGAAAACTGAATTCATCAGAAAGAATGGTCACATCTTATTTCACATCTTTAATTACTTACGATAGGACAAAGATGACTGAGATAATTTGACGTTATGCATTGCATCTAACCGATGATTCAAACAATAATAATTTGTTCCAACTTTAGCAAAGTAAACGCAGAGCTAGAATATAGTACAGGTTACTATGCATATCAATACCTAGACATAAAGTTGCAAATGACCACTCAAAACCTCGGTTTCAAAGTCCACTCATCCAGTCCAGCTTTGAAAGTTAAACGACCTCACTAATCTTTACTAGAGACAAATCTAAATAGCGTAGGACCTGGACAATGTGAATTGGTAGAAGTTACTGGAATTAGCTTTAGGAGACAGGGTTAAAGCAACGAATCAAAAATAACGCCAACTGGGAAAAAGCAATGTAGGAAGTGCAAAGTACGAAATATTATACTGCTCAATACTTAAGGTAGGCGATAAGTGCAATATCGACACTGCGATGGATTTTAATTCAAAATATCTGGAAGCCCTCCCCAAGGATCACTAAGGAATAAGTTGTTTAATGCCTTACTAACCCTTTGCATACTCACTGAAAATTCGAGAAGCAAAACCCCTTAGGATAAGTGATATGGCTGACACGTTTGTCTTTCATTTTGTACTATCAGAATAAGCATGTCTAAACCAATAACGATTCGCCGTTTATATGTGGAGAGTAAGAAAGGGATCGAAGTCTTTTTTTATTGCCTTTACCTACCATAATATATCGTATGTATACTCCAAACCCATTAGTTTGCAGAGAAGTAGAGTGAAATACTACCACTAAGAGAATGACAAAAATAAGTGGCGATATAGACAGAAGTGAAGGTAAAGCAACGTCATCAGTTTGAAACAGCTTCGAATGTGCAGAATTCGACAATAATGTAACAAGATGATCCTAAATCCAATAAGATCTTAAGTCGGGGGTGATTAAGTGGGAAAATAAATCTGAATTGTAGGCAGATGTACAAGAGCGTATAAAATCTAAGCTAGCAAGTGATCGAAGGATGTTATGAGGCGTGTTGAAACGTAATTTGGTGTGGATGTTTGACTGAGTGCCTTTAAGTAAGTGGTACGTCCTGTAGGACTAATATGGCCAATATCAATGTCGAAGACTCCAAAATATATTTATTTTGGGGATTTATTTAGTATTATAAGTCTCTAAATAGACAAGTTTGAAAAAACTGGCTGAATATAAATTCTGGTATAATAACAGGTCTTCTAACATTACTGCAATATCTACTTCCCTGGGTATTTGAGTTATCCAATAATTTATTTTAACTCGCATTACCTTAACCATAAGCAATACTATTTTAACCAGTTTACCGCTTAGCATCATATTTCTATATATTCTCAGAGTTAACGTAAGTCGACTGTAGAAATATTCATAGCAATGGGTAAATTACAAATATTGAGTATCGGGTTCTAATTTGGAGTTATTTTCTGGTAAGTGGTTATTCACCACATATTTATACAATGCTCAAGATGTTTCCTTAACTTCTATTTTTGAGTTAATTTGTAAAAACTCGAAGTCCTATTAAAATATAAATACTTTCGAGTGTTACCATAAAATTAAGCCGTCAAACGTGGGAAATATAATAAAATTTCTAGTGAGCAACACTGTAATTTTCTTATGAAATACATAGAGAAAAATTTGAGTGCAGAAGGAAGAACCTATCGAACTGCATAACAATATACTTTTCAACTACTTTAATAGATAGACAGATTTTTTTTCTGCATTTTAGTACTATGGAGAAGAAACTAAAAATTGGAATCTGCCGAAGGCTAGAAATAAAATATGAACGTTTAAAAATGATCGCCCCTAGAAAGCTAATACAAGGAAAAACATAAAAATAATAAGTAGGAACATTCAACTACTTTGATAAATTCCACTAAACTTACTAGAATGAACTAAGACGAGGGGAATTTAATTTTGTCCCCG